TACAATTCATATTTCTTCATTAAATAACTTAAGTAATTTGAAAACGTTCTGTGAGACATCATTTCAAAGATAAAATGCACAAATGGCTTCACATGCACTATAAGCAAGCTGCACGCTGCACAGTCGACACAGGAATCATCACTTGCACAATCGAGGCAGTGTCGCGTCGTCACTAAAGTTTAGAAATTGCATTTATTTTTCATTCTTGCCAGTGTTAGCACTCGCGCGCTCTACTGAAACCCATGTGCTCATGCCCACTCGCAGCGCACACACATAACGCTAGGTTCACATTACTCCATTTGCAGTGCGTATGTGGTGCGTATTTTTTCCGCGCTCATGTTATCGGATTAATAAAGTGATCCCTGCACACGGTTGCAGTCCGGCAGTGCGTTCAGGAGCGGTGCGTCTGCAGCAGTGCAGAGATCGTTTCCGCACCGAGTCTATTTTTGTTGCACTGCAAGCACTGAATTAAAGTAACAGCGCATTGTTTGCAGTAAATATGAACATGGATTGACACGAAAATGTGGTAATTACACCGTAAATGCACATAATTAAAGTCTACTGTGTTTCACAGTCAACACAAACATTTTTGACAAGGTTTAAAGCACTTTTAGATAAACAAGGCAATAAATAGATGGCACTCGTGGAGGTAGTAAAACAAAGTTCTTTATGAACCGCAGGATTGCTTGTAATAAAGATTTAAATGCAAAAGAAAAGGCAGTAGAGCTGACCGTTTATGTCAATCGTAAGTTTTAATTTAGAATGTTTGTGATAATGTAAGAAAAGTAGTTTAAATGGTTTGCCACTTGCTTGAGCAACTAAATATATCAATCTAGAAGTAAATGCAAAAGTAAAAAGCATTGAATAATGCATTTCTTATATTTATTGCGTTTAAACACGTCTATGAAAGATTGTATTACTGAATAATGGAGAAATAAAATAATAAAATAATGGATAAATGTTGTGTTTGTAGTAAACAGCCCCAGATCAGTTGCAGACTCCTGTGTGAAAGCCCAGTCAGTGCTGCTTCTGCGCCGCTTACGTACCGCACATGGAGTGCATACACACTGCAAACGGAGTATGTGTGAACCTGGCATAAAAGGCCGCCTCACATACAGCTCACGAAATCAGGCTTGTGCTGTGTGTAAACTAAACAAAAATGCAGTGCATGATCAAACGTGAGATAAATATATATTTGTGAAAAATTTCTAAAAAATGAAATTCAGGCCCTGAATAAATGTCTAAAAATCTTGATTGGATCAACACTATAAATAATTCTACATGATAAAAAAAAAATAAGGCTTTAAAAAGATTGGTATCGGTGATCGTATTGGCAGATACTGGTTTCTGTGATCGGCCTCAAAAATCCTGATCGGAGCACCCCTAATCATTATGTTTGCTATTTAAAAATATAGAAATTATAAAAAAGGCTAACTGGTGTCAATTGCTGTTTGGTTGAAATTCTTCTATACATTTTTTTTTATTTTCTGGATAAAAAATATTAGAAAGATAAATATTGAAGGTAAACATTTTTTGGCTATAATTAAACAATCCTTGCAGTTGCTCAAAAGTTTGCGCTCTGAATTTGAAAAGAAACAGTTTATCTCTGTTTATTATAGCATCAGCTGTGCGTAATGGAGGCAGAACTGATTGGCTGGTTGGCTGAATGGACTACTCAGTGTCATATTCATAACCGTATGACTCCACACAACTTGCTGAGGCGGCAAAGTACAGGAACGGAATGGAGTTTGTGGCGAGTTTAGTTTGGGAGACTGTTAGGATGTTGGAGGCAACAGCTGCTCCCTCTGTGTGATTAATGAGGTACGACTCGAGGCAGACAGTACTGACCAATCAAAACACAGCCGGAGCCAATGCCGACTGAACACATTATGTTTGCTATTTAAAAATATAGAAATTATAAAAAAAGGCTAACTGGTGTCAATTGCTGTTTGGTTGAAATTCTTCTATACATTTTTTTTTATTTTCTGGATAAAAAATATTAGAAAGATAAATATTGAAGGTAAACATTTTTTGGCTATAATTAAACAATCCTTGCAGTTGCTCAAAAGTTTGCGCTCTGAATTTGAAAAGAAACAGTTTATCTCTGTTTATTATAGCATCAGCTGTGCGTAATGGAGGCAGAACTGATTGGCTGGTTGGCTGAATGGACTACTCAGTGTCATATTCATAACCGTATGACTCCACACAACTTGCTGAGGCGGCAAAGTACAGGAACGGAATGGAGTTTGTGGCGAGTTTAGTTTGGGAGACTGTTAGGATGTTGGAGGCAACAGCTGCTCCCTCTGTGTGATTAATGAGGTACGACTCGAGGCAGACAGTACTGACCAATCAAAACACAGCCGGAGCCAATGCCGACTGAACAGAGCGGGTCATAACAACATCGTGCAAGCCCAGTTCTCCCCGCAGCAGGTGGAAAGGACGGGTCAGCAAAAAGCTCAGATCAAAGGCTGCGTAATTTATATTATTTCCCGCTAAGCAGCCTAAGGAATCAATGACAATCAAGGAAAGAATACGGGACGAGGAAAGTGGAGAAATATCTATATTCAAGGCCTTCATCTGTATTCTTCCAGTCTCTGCCAGACAGGAAGCAAGAGGAGGCAAAACGGCTCCCAGAATTCCCTGCGGCGGGACGGATTACAATAAAAGACCCACAGTACTGGAGGAGCGAGCTCCTGGGAGCCAGGACACATTAACAGCACTAAGAGCCGTTTCATTCCATAGTCTTTCTGACATAAAACTGCCATCAGCATTTCTCTCCTCCCAATGCCAGTCTATAAACCGCTAGGTAAACTCCATAATTTGCTCTCGGGTGGTGATCTCGCAAAATGGGAGCTCGAGACATTCACATGGCGGCCACGTAAACAGCGCAAATTAAATTTGATAGGAAAATAGCGTAGGTGGCTAGAGCATCCCCACAGCCCACTTCATTTGAAACATGCGTCTATAGTGGGCTACACCCGTGCATATACAGTGGGGAAAAAAAGTATTTAGTCAGCCACCAATTGGAAACAGATTGTAGGTGACCAAATACTTATTTTACCGAGGAATTTACCAATTAATTCTTTAAAAATCCTACAACGTGATTTTCTGGATTTTTTTTCTCATTTTGTCTCTCATAGTTGAGGTATACCTATGATGAAAATTACAGGCCTCTCTCATCTTTTTAAGTGGGAGAACTTGCACAATTGGTGGCTGACTAAATACTTTTTTGCCCCACTGTATATCTGCGACTGGGACTTTAAATAAGACGAAGGAGGTGATTTGCGAAACCTTATAGAGAATCAATTCTAAAAACCGGGGGAAAAAAGACACATGCCCGTATAAACTGTGTTTATACTGATAAATGCAGCCCATCATTTTGAATGAAATTGAAGAAAGAACAAAAATGAGATGTTTGCTGCCTGTCGGATGACCCTCTAGTGTTTTCATTTGAGCGTAATGAAAATCCATCCGTCTTGCAGTTGCATTTCATTCTAATCTCCCTGGAATTAAATTGACGCTTCAATGGCATTTTTGGATCGCTCACCTTTCGTGCGTGCTAATAAACGATGCGGTGCGAAAGAGAAATGAGTTCTGAAATGTGTGCAGTGGATGTGTAGGTTTAAGTGACTCATGCGCACCAGCTGAGATGTTCTGCAGCTTCATCCAGCTGGCATAACGCAGCCTCTGCGCCCAGCATCACACAGCCGTTCCTTCGCATTGTGCTGCCGACTAACCAATGAGATGAAAAAGCCCTGAAACTAATTGGCCACTCTGACAGCACTGTGGGAATGTGTTTGAAGTTTTCACACTGGTACTTTCACACTCTTGCTGACTCAGTCGAGCGCTCTGCTTCTGGCCCACAGGATGCATCAGCCTCAGTCTCTGGCTAATACTGCAGCACAGGGAGGCAGACCAGCAAGCAAACATAGATCTTTTGCAGGCTGGTCCACACTACAGCTTATTTGATCCAAAAACAGGTAATTTAGACAGAACCGGAACATGATACAACCAGTCCATCATTCTATTTTTATATGATGATTACAGCTGAAATCTGACAGCAAAATAACAGAGTGGTGTGAAACAAAGTGTTAGCTGATTCAAATAATGACACTGCAGTTTCATGACAGCACAGGCCAGTGTTGTTAACAAAAAACGAAAACTATTAAAAACATTTTTGTTAACTGACATTAAGAAATGAGATCAAATATAAATATAAGATAAAAAACAAATTGCACTTGAAATTAAAATGAGAAAAGTTGAGCTGGCAACTAAATTAAATATGTTTAACTAAAACTGTATAAAAAATTTAAATAAATAAAGCTAAGTAGAAATATTAATTAAAGCTAATAATAATAATAATAATGGCAAAAGCACTTGACAATTTCAGAAATTAAAATTAAATTAACACTGAATATTTAAAAATAAAAGATAATTCAAATCATCAATAGATATTACAGTAGTATACAAAATAATACTAAAATAACACTGATATCAGCACAAAATGCCATTGTACAGTATAGTGAGTTACCTGACATGATAGGTTGTCCAGTCATGCTCATGGGGGCCATCCCGAGGTTGTTCATGGCAGTCGCCCAAGCATTAGGGTCTGACATGGGCATCGCTAAAGAGTTGGCGTCCATGGCGATATTTCTGAGCCCCTCTGAAAGAGAGAAAAACACCATCTGGGTTTATATCTAAAAGTGCTCGGCTCTTCTAAAAGACGGAATACTTTTGATTATTCAAACCTGAGCGAAATTATAATTCCTGTCTGGAATTTGTGCCTATTTGTGTGACCTGAGCTCTCAGTGATGAATATGTTACTCGATAAACCCATTTAGCCCACATTTATGAGCAAAATTTGAAGTTGAAGTTGGTGATCTACACCACTGTTCAACAGACTGGGAACAGTGACAGTAGGCGCATTTCCATTACAGATTTGTGCAAAACTTTGGCGATATTTTCTGAATGTTGACAAAAAAGTATTGCGAAATGACGGCGTTTCCATTAACCAATTTTAATGCGGCTAAAACGTAACCTTTTGCCTCTCGCGATAAGTCATGGCAATGGATTTTGGTGGGATTTTGACGGATTTTGGCTATATTTATTCAAAGGAGGCTTATGCATGTATCTTTACAGAAGCAGCAAAGAGAGCCGCTTCAGAAACGTGTGTGGCGCGGCTGGAATAAACCATAGACTGTATAAAAACATAAACACAAGCATTGAGTGGCCGTAATCAGCTTCAGTGACCGTATCAGAGCCACACTGCACCGCAGACGTGTGCAGTGTAAATTGTCTAAGCATTACTAGTAGGGAAAGCCCCTTATACTGGAGCGCGGCCACTTATGAAGTGTTTCTTGGAGGTTATAGTACATTGAAGAATGATCATATGACTTTTTACATACGCCATGTGACCTGTAAATTCGAAAAAGCTGTTTCCATTGCAGTTTTGCGAATTAATCCTTTTTCGCATTGCCTGAAAAACCACCTCATGCGAGCGTAAAAACTTTTTTGCGATATATGGCCGTTTTTGCGAAATTGACGCGTTTCCATTAGGTGTATTTTCAATTCGCAATTTCAATTTGCGCAATTTGAAGGGTAATGGAAACGTGCCTAGTGTCTGATGTTTTTATGCTCACCAAGGCTGTATTTATTTAATAAAAAAACAGGGTGAACTAACCCTTTAATGAAGTGTTTGAGTTGAGAGAGGAATGAGATGTGAAGTCTTCATCAGCTTAACGCATAAAACACTTTATTATGATAAATTGGGAGCTTCTTTGAGAACTAATTTATGTACTATTAACTATTAATTTATGTACTATTAACCGCAGAGGTTCCAATGTGCTTAAGCACACCATCACTTCAGAGAAAACAGACGGCTGTTTTAACTGCTGCCAGAGGTCTGATAAACTTCAGTATATCTGAGGTGTGACCGCTGTGTGTGAGAGAACATATGCTTCCTGCGCGGAGTGGGCGGCAGTCACACGGAGGAGATCATTTCTATTGAGAAAATGCCATTGTGTTTCGTGGTTGGTCAGGGAATTATTATAACGGAGTTAACTAAAAACAGATTGGTAATTCGTTTTCAGGTTCTCCAGAGGGATACCAAAGGCGGTTTTGGTCAAAACATCTAAAAAAGCACATTTATTTAGAACAGAAAACAAAAGAAACGACCTTCTTGACACGTGACGTCATGCTTCGTTTCCTTATTTAAAGATAAATCACAGGATCTTTTAACACTTAAATAACGTCACGTCGTGTCTGAATTAGCATGAGTATACGTCAACAACTCAGATTCTGCTCTCAGCTGTTCACATACTCGCACTTTGAAATGATTAGTCTCTATGGCAACACTCATAGTGCCAACATGAATCCATGTGCGGCTTTGTTGTTGATAATTAATTTCTATTTATTCACCTCTATACTTCTTTGCAAAACGCTGACAAATAAAGAAAGTGAACCAGGTAACACTGGCTACAATAAAATGACATTTCAAACAGAAATATGAAGCAGGAACCAGAACGACGTACAGAACTACTATTAAATGTTATTTTATTTTAACATTTGGAAGCTCGTAATCATTCTGACATGACACAAGAGTCATATTTCACCAATGCCATCCCGGTTCTGGACTGAACAGATAGCAGAAATCCCACTCTGAAGCTGAAGGAAGTGTGTGTGGTTGGTCTTCTGCAGGTTCTCAGAGGACTTTGTCCATGGCTCATCTCTCAGATGTCTTCCTCTCAGTCATCCAAAAAGACGGCAGAGGTCCGAGGTTTCAAGTGAAAGCAGTTGTTTATTCATCTGTATCAGCGGCAGTGGTGTGAGCGGATTGGAGCAACAGGCAATTTCCCTCCCGCTGAAAGCAGTCTGTAATCACGCTGTCCCAATCCGCTCCTCAATCCTTTCCCACTCATTGGTTAAAGCAGTGGTTCTCAACCCGCGGCCTGTCACGAATTCAAATGCGGCCCACCATGCTGAACACAATTAAAAAAATAACTTTCAGTTTTACAATTCATTTGAGTTTTTACATTCATTTAAAAATGTACTAAACAAATATAAGCTATAATGTTTTTATGTAAAATAATTTTGTTTTTCATATATTTTCAGACATGAGCAGACTCACGTAAATAACGTTACGCATTTAACGAACACTTACAAGCGCGCACTTTGGCAGAATTCAATTCAAATAGTCATCAGCAGCCATTAGTACGGTAAAATTGAGCATAAGAATGGACAAACTTGTTATTAAGGAAGAAAAACGAAATGTGGAAAATGCCAGCGAAGGAACACATACAAACAAGAATAGTCGCAGTATCAGCAGTGAAGGAGAGTGCTGGACATTCGGTTTGCCCCGCCACTCACTTGATGATGTTCAGGCAAAAAGAAACACCCATACTTTGCAGAAATCATCTTTAATAGCAGAAATGTGGCAAAACATCTCAGGAGAGAACCTCAGATTTTTAAATTCAAAAGTGCTTTCCATATTTGGATCAAATAGGCTACATGTGAACACATTTTCTGCAATGTTGCACGTCTTACAGACTGCAACTTACAGTCGCAACTTCATTGTGCTGTTACTTAGGGATGCACCGAAATGAAAATTCTTGGCCGAAGCTGAAACCGAACTAAATTAAACACTGGGCCGGAATACCGAACACGGTTTTTCGAGTTTTTTTCCCCATGTATTTTGCCAATTTTTTTTCACCATTGCATTAATTAAAAAGCCAAAATGTGCTTTTTACTGTTTTTTCTTGCTTTTCAAAGAAAAAAAAATCTATTAAAAAACAACAATTTAAAAATATTTAAAGGGGTCATATGATGCGATTTCAAGTTTTCCTTTCTCTTTGGAGTGTTACAAGCTGATTGTGCATAGATAAGATCCCTGAAGTTGGAAAGACTAAAGTCTCAAAACCAAAGAGATATTCTTTATCAAAGTTAAGACTCTGCCACGCCCCCCTAAAACGGCTCGTTCTAACACGCCCCCACATATCTACCTCACTATGTGTGAATATTAGCATAATGCGGCCCAAATGTTCACGCAAAGAAAGGCGGCGTGGTTTCAGTAACCGCAGTTAGTGTTGAAGCAGCATGTCAGGGAGACGCTGTGTGTTTCTAGGTGAAAGCAAAAGCACTTTATTTGGCCTTCCGGGGTCTCATTACGAATACGTCATACGTATCGCATTGCCACGTACCTTGTAAAAATTCATAAAATGTGACTGAGCAATTGACGACTGTATCAGCGCAGATTTTCCTCGCACTTCGGACTTTGAACCCTGGTTAAAGTCACTACACACACACACACACCCGCGTGTATTAGAAAACATAACGTTCTGCAGTTTATTTACTAATTGTTTTAAGGCCATTTCACGATTTCAATTATCATACAGTAACCAGCAACAATCACCCCCTTCCTCTTCTCATTGAAGACATGCGATGCAGTCCTAAACAGTCTCTCGCTGTCGATGCTTGTAATGATTTTTGCGTCTTTCTCCGACAGTTTAAATGCTTCCACACTGCTGACGTGTGTGCTGCATAATAAAGAGTGCGCGCCTCTCACTCTGCGATGGTTGCTATTTGATTGCGTCATATCATTGTTCGGTACAATTTATTCTGTCTTTTTGTTTATTCGCTCATTCGAACACCGAAATAGCTTTTTTTGCTATTTTCAGCCGAATAATTTCGGTTGCCGAACATTCGGTGCATCCCTACTGTTACTCCTTGTGAGCCGAATTTCACAAACTTGGTCAGCTCCCGACAGCAACAGGTGTTTTATTAATGGTGAGTAGAATTATTTATTTATTTCAATGAATGTAATCGATTAGATATCATAATATTTAGGCTATAATATTATAAATCTGGTTGATTTGTATTGCTGACGTAATATGTAAATGATATGCGTGCGGCCCGTGAGACTTGCACTTGGACCATAGTGCGGCCCAGCGGAAAAAAAGGTTGAGAACCACTAGGTTAAAGAAACTTTACTCCAAAGCTAAATACCTTTCAAAAGTTTGGGGTCTTTTTTACGCTTTTGAAAGAAGTGTCCTTAACACTTTAGATTAGGGAACACTTATTATTTATAAGAGTTTTCTCTTAATAAACTCCTACTTTACTGTGTATTGACAGTAAGTAAGGTAGTTGTTGTGGTATTTCAAGATTTAGGTTTTCGGTAGGGTTAAGGGTTCTAGAATATAGTCATGCATTAAATGCTTTATAAGAATTAATAAACAACCAACATGTTAGTAATATGCATGTTAATAAACAACTAATTTATAGTGAATAGTTATCCCTAATCTAAAGTGTAACGGAAATCTTTTATGTTCACTAAGGCTGCATTTATTTGATCAAAAATCAAATATACAATAAAAACAATAATATTGTGAAATATGATTGCAATTTTAATAATAATTTTAAATAATATAATAAAATGTGATACTCCATAAACTTTTATTAAATTAATTAATCTAAACCTGTGCTGTGCTGCTGTTACAGCAAACTGTGATAGATTTTTTTCATTTTTATATTTTTTAGGACTTTTGATGAATAATGAAGTTCAAAAGCATTTACTTGAAATAAAAATATTTTGTAACATTGTAAGTGTCTTTACTGTCACTTCTTGAACAAATAAAATCCATCTGTGGTGAATAAGTATTAATAAAAAAA